TAGTTCCTTGACATTTTGTAAAATGATTAAAAAAAAGAAAAATGAATCACTTTTATATTATTTATTATCATAAAATAATAAGAACGATAAAACATGAATATATTATTATTATTGATTTAGAGTTGACTAAAAAAAAAGGAACTCTCTATACTGTTTGAAATTAAAACAATAAATTTCATCAATAGTAATAATAATAATAATATTACGAATAGATAATGCAAGTTTACAACACATTGTCACACACTATACAATACAATAAAAAAAAATTCATCTTTATTCAATTTATTTTTAAAATAATACAAATCTTACAATATATATATATATATATAATTAATATTGGCTTACAAGATGTTATTTTCATATCAATTATACAAAGGATGTGTGTACACAGGAGATAAAAACGGACACATAGGTGTCACAATATGAATGAAACAATCGATAAAATGATGATCATGTATACGAAAGAATAAAATTAAAAAAGGAAGCGAATGCACAAATGAGAAAAATGCAAAACAAAAAAAAAATAAAATTCAAATAAAAATGGAAGTCGAGAATGGCGCAAAAATTGTTTCACAGTAGTGATGACGCTTATTAAAACTGATGTTTTATTGTCCTTACTACAGTGACAATATTAGTCAGATGAATAGAAGAAGTCAAGGGTGGCGGCGGAGAGGGGTTAATGTAGCAACCGGATTTAAAAATTCCAAAGTCTTTTGGATATGGGTTTTTTTTCCAATGATCAGTATTCTTCTACTTGTTTGTTGTTTTTACGAATCTACATATATGATATAATCGTTGTTACGTCACATAGCGTTGTAGCTTATTGGTTTTTATCAAAAAATATTATATTTTGTAATTTCAATCCATTGCATATGAGACAATGGCCATTGAAGTTAAACCAAAAAACATAAGAGTAAGATGTATAATTGATTCTCTGAAAATAACAGAAAAAAATATATATTTAATGTATGATATATATAATTACAGAATCATTTATATGATAATATGTTAAGTTATTCATCCAATAACCTAAGATGCCTATTGGTCAATTTCTATTGGTCAATTTTATGATCGTCCTTGATATCAATGTCATGTACTCCAATGTTGTTTCGTATTGGTCGTCCTAACTGTTAATGTCGCACAAATTTTGTTTCCTATTAGTCGACTTACCTATCAATGTCACAGACTTCGATGCTGTTTCATATTCAACCTAACAGTATAAATACGCATTATTTGTAACGTTTGATGACCACGACTAGGACCAGGGCTCGGTCCCGGATCCCTAGTCCGGGATCCTGATTCTCTTCTGGATTCGGACCTCGTACTTTCTGGATGCTTGTAGAATACAGGTTCTACTTCATATCAAGTCTTCTTATTTTTACTAAATATGGGGGTTGGGATAATCGGATTTGAGTAGCCTGTCGTGTCCCCGGATCCTCGCTCTCGTTTTCTGACAAGATAAGCCCGCAATAGTTCAAGTATATCAAGCCACAGATTTCGATGCTGTTTCCTATTCGATCTCGACGTATAAATGCGTATTATCTGGAACGATTTATGACCTTGACCTGGATCCTCATTCCGGGATCTGTGTCTTCTTCTGGACTCGGACCTCGTACTTTTCAATATGCTTGTAGAATACATGTTCTACTTCAATTCAAATCTTCTTCTTTTACTCAATCGGAGTTTGGGAAAAACGGATTAGATTAGCATGTTGTGTTACCGGATCCTCGCTCTCGTTTAGCGACTAAGGTAAACTCATAATAGATCAAGCAAATCAAAATGACATGTTTACATGTGGTGACGTTTATGCGAAGGAATATGTGAAAATCAATTTACATAACGATTCAATAAGTGTTGATCATCACTGTTTCATTGGATTCCTTCTAATGATAAGCTATAAACTTCTCTCTGTGTTTTCTTCATAGGCTTAAATTTGACATGTTTATACATAGGAAAAAGATAGCTATAACAAAAATATTTAGCATTTTATTTTAGAAATATATATATCTCAAGTTTTCATTAAAGGCTTATGAAGTTTACTAGCTCAAAAACAAGTGGGCCAGTTATTATTACATAAAAAGAAAAAATTTCTAAAATGTTATAAGCAATTTTAATATATGCGTAATTTACACAAGTCTCAAAAAAAAAAGCAATACACACTAATATGTATATATTAATTATGAAAATATGAAAACTACACAATTTTTAATTTAAATATTTTAGAAGTGTCAGTGGGACATAGATGGAATTAAAGCATGACTACGTTGCAGCGCCTGATCGATTCTTGGAGAACAGGGTAGAAGATTCTCGTACTGTTAGCTGCGTGCTGATTGGTTAAATCTAATCCAGTCGATCACGTGAATTTCTATCCAGAAGCTTCTCATGTAAATGCTATAAATAAACTAACGTTGTATCTATTTTTGCCTTCGCCTTCGCCATCACCTTTGGCTTCTTATTTCCATTTAACCTTGCTATTTGGAATATAATCTTTTCCTGTTCAACCGTGTTTTTGATTCTTGGGAACTTGTCCAGTGTATTGTGGTCAGAGAATACTAAGCAATAGGATTTAGCTGGGAATTATTTAAGAAACCGTTACAACAAGAAGAATTTTAAAAACTTTTACAACTTACTTAAATGATAATTCTTTTAAAATATCAGGTAAAAGAGAGACTAATGCAATGTACAAGAAACCGCCAGCAGTAAAAGGAAGTATCCATTTTGTTGTACAACCTGTAAAAATTTTAGAATATTACTCTCAATAATTTTTTATTTCATATAAGTAGACTATTTAAGTTTAAGTAAATAAATAATGATAATATTGACCAGTGGTATTATTAGATTATGAATCAAAACTACTGTCTGTCATAACACGGATTGATGCTTCTGTTTTTATCTGAGTCGCCCTATTAATGATTCTTCAAAATAAAAAACAAGTAACCAATATCATTCGTTCGATGCGAGTTAAGAACACAAGTGAAGAGTTGTTTATACTGTAGTGCCTTCACATATATTTGAGTTCGCTTATATTTAATTTGATTAAGCCTTTCGATTAACTTATTTAACCAAGCTATTTGTATAGCAACAACTCATATTGTACACCATTGGTATTTTGTATTGTCTTGTTTGTATGAGCTGGTATGGCTGAACATTGTTTACGCCGCTTACGCACTTACTCTCCCATTCGCTTTAATGTGAATCTCTTAAATACCTCGATGACTCAGATATCTTCCTATGTATATATACGAACATATTTAATCTTATTAATTCATTCTCACATTCGCCCATTCACTCGCTAGTGTGCCTGCCCGGTCTGCTTGTGGTCTGCTATCCCTCTTTGTGGTGTGCCAAAATAAACGTATTCAACACTTCGAATTCACCTTCTGATTTATAAACCGTCAGACGCTATTTAGTAATGATTGTCTGGATGAGCTAATTACGAAGAGTAAGAACACGTAGAAATTGGCCACCACAATACAAAACATGGTGACAACTCTGGGCAAAATACACACTCATCGGTATATTCATTTGTAATACCTGTTTGATTCATTAATTAGAAACAATTAACCTACTATGAGATTAGAACAAATAACGTATGAACATAGTTCATTTGCATGATTGTGATTCTTCTTTTTTAGTACCTTGATGAAGTCTAGACAAGTTTTCTAGACAAAATATATCATTTAAATTCAAATATACTTTTCATAAATCACATCTTCTATATACTCAATGGTCCTTGATTTTTGTCGAATATATCATTTAACATTGGTGAATATTCCGTATAAAATAATTAATATTTTCAGTTAGTGTTTTGGAGATTTGTGTTTTTCTACACATTTGAAATCATCAATCAATCAATCAATCATGTGTTAGACCACCATTAGAAACCTGGAAGAAGCACTGGATGGCCGTTTCGTCCTGGTATGGGACTCATCAGTGGCAGTGCACATCCACAACTCCTGAACCTCGCACGATCGAACTCGAGACCTTACGGTATTGTGCACGAACGCCTTACCATCGGACCACTGGGCATGGCATCCAACGGTGTTAATGTCTAACTCTGATTGATTCTAGGGGATTTTAATTTAATTCAAACAACATCAGTAAACATCTGACTGAAATAAATCAATATCATACTGAATTAGATACCACATAGAAAATAATGAATAATCATCATGTTGAACAAAAAAAACAGATTTCATGTTAAATGAAAGTCACAACGAGGCGAAAGTGTAATTTTACTATTTCATCTCGTTATATCATTGTCGAAAATAGCTGTGATATTTTATATGGCTAATATGTCGGATTACATACAAAGGCTAACTAATTATAGTTCAACGATTTCTATCAGCATCACTAAAGAGAGATACTTATAGAATATATTGGGAAATCACAAATAACTGGAACATTAAAATTTCAGTTACTAGATACAGATTATGTTCATAGTTGTTAGTAGGTTTTAATAAACTTATCGACGCCTATAAAATAAACTTAAGTTTAATGGCAAAAGAGTAAAAAGTTGTTCGACAACCAACACTCAAGAAAGTTGAACTTTTCCATCGGAGTAACATCATCTAATCAATTATAACTTTATGCCTCCCTGTCTTAAAGGTTATGAAACGAATTAGTTTGAGATGTTACAAGTTCTGTTTCGAAATCTAAGTTCATAAGGATCCTGTTTCAGTTTTATTTTTTACTTTAAGTAAACAATTAAATGTGCCTTTCAATAAATAGTTGTTGTTGAGCCAGTGGATATTTAGACTCAAGAGCTAAGTCGATAAGTCGTTGAGAACTCAAGACGAAAGGTACTTGGTTCGAATCCCTGTGTGGATATCTAAGAAGAAACTTGCATTCTGGATCCTGCTGCTAGCCATCAATTAACTTTTTTTTCGCAGTTATCCTGAACAGACGAATTTATATACAAACTATAAAATAGTATTTTTCGTACAACTAATTTACATAGACATGAACATTAAGTAAATACGACAGTTTATTCAGTAAACTCAAGTGTCATTACGCTAATTTCAATCTAAATGAAATGATTATAACCAACGATCAAAAACTGATACTTAATTTTGATTGTTGTTATTATAAATTACTATCCTTATATTGTGAATGGCATATATATGTATATGTATAGGGTAGAATATGGTCCACATATATTATGGATTATTTCATTTATGCATAGAATATGTAACAAAAATTAAGTCTATCATTATTATTAACAATAACAATGATAAAAACTAGGTGTATAGTCAGTTTAACATAAAAATAAATTGTTTATAATAGACTGGAATTTTAGAAATTTCAAACAAAACTAACAGAATTAATTCAGTTTAAACATACTAGATTTCTATAAATTAATTAGACAAATGAATTTACTAAACATATATTTACATATTTCAGTGTAGTTCAGTGTAACGTAAATAGGGATTTTTGCTTCTTGTCCGTAATCGATTATATAGATGTGAAACATGGCCCGTTAGAGTAGAAGATATTCGTAGGTTTTTACTATTCGATGATAGATGTCTTAGAAGCATTGCTCGTGTTTTGTGAGACAACCGAGTAAGTAATGATGTAGTTAGGAAACGAGTACAAGGTAAGGGTGCAAGATCAATAGACGAAGTATTGAAACTTCATCAGCTGAGGTGGTTAGGACACTTGTTACGTATGCCTACCCACCGACTGCCTCATCGAGCTATGCTTTGAGATGTAAGAATAGGTTGGAAGAAAGCTATGGGTGACCAGACTAAAACATGACACAAAACTATGAAGTCGTTGACAAAGGGATTGAGTCATGTTGGTAGGTGTCGACTACCTGGTTGTGGTCCGCGAGACGAAAGTCACCGATGGTTAGAGACCTTGAATGAAACGGCTTAAAATCGTTTGCAATGGCGCAGATGCAGCATCCACTCTTTGTGTTTTCTCGAATTTTGATCCTCTGGATTCGTCAACACCTCTATCTTTCTCTTTCTAAAGTTATCTCACTGAATTATACTTGTCGAATCATAGCTTCGGACCCTAATCTTCTCCATTACTGCTAATTCTTCTACTATCTCCACTACTATGGGATTTGAACTGACAATTGCATCTCTGTGCTAATGTGGTATGGAAACCTGAACTGATGTACTCGCGTACGACGTTCTACGTTGTAACTGACTGACTGAATGGCCGACAGAATCGATTAGGGAAAGACGGAGTTATCAAGAACAATTGATTAGATTTATACTGTACCATATTTCTTGATCTTGAGTGTTTTGGACAAAGTTGGTAGGATCTTTTGAATGATTCATATTATTTGAAATAAGTAGTGCAGTTGTATGGCTCTTACTATCTTTACTTTACAAAGAAAGCTATAAACATAAACTTATTTTTCAAGTTGAAACTCAGACAGTGAAAAACTTTACGATTAAATTATCCAACTCAATGAATGTAACAAAATTAAAATGCCTTGATTTCTAGAATTCAGATAGATCCAGGAATTTAACTGTTGTTTGTGAATATCATCATCTGGTTACATAGTCAACTATAAGGCATAGTTCTACTAGATAATGTATAGTTTAAATGGATGTTGAGGTAAACCTATTCATGTGAATATCAATGATTTTAGTCAGCTGTTCAGAATGGAATAGATGAGGTAGGTTCAGGTTGTTATTTATTAAATAGAACTCAGATATGTAGACAGTATTCATTAAAACACTAATCTATATGACTCTTAATACGTGAATTACAAAAAGTAGACCATTTGCTGAATATTTAACAGTAGATAATCAAACAGTTAGCATTTTGTATTATTAGTTAATCATTGCAAAATGCTTTCAACTAAAGGACATGAAAATTTAAACGAACAAAGCATAGCTTTTAATTCATATTAAACGTACAGTTGATTCTTTAATTAGAATAAAAATAAAAATTTACATTGATTTTTCAATGTTTGCATTCACATTTTCTTTTTCTCAGTGAGAAAGAATTATAAATAACTTAGATTCAATCGAGTCCTGACAAACAAAATGTTTATAATGTTGGAAAACCTAAGTTATAAAAAACATTGGGGGTTGAAATCACTTAATTTTATCAACTTCATCTATGGAGTAATTTTTAATTAAGTAAAGCATAAAAGCAATATAAATTGTAAATGCTGTGAAGGAATTACAGAGTACTCTGACGGGTTATAAAATAACTGGAATTTAATGAATTATTTTAGCTACATTATTACTCACCGGTGACTGAAGCATTAGCACAAAGTGTTAGGATGGCACCTAAAGTAGATCCAGATGCTGTAGCTAACTGAAATACAATAAAGCATGAAACTTATAAAGTACTTGTTAACAAGAAAATTTTATAAAGAATAATCCAATACAACATGGTAACAAAGTACATGGTTCCTGTGGTCAAACTTTGAAACATTTTTATGTGTGAGAACTGAATGGATTAAAAGCTAACTATACTGAGCTAAGTGTAGTGCAATTCGAATTTAAGACTATTGTGTAAACTTTACTCCTTACTGCAGGATTACAACTGCTTTTCACATTTAATTTGGTTAAGCTATTGGTTATATCGACAATATCGCACAATAAACACCTAGATTTATGACTTAAAATTAACACTAACTTAGTTAAATAAAATTGGATATGTATTTCTGAAATGAATCATGTATCATACTTAAACGTAACAGAAGTAATTGATTTGGCACACAAGGAAACATTCTGACAACTCCTACCTTGAGTTAGCGCAAGCTATGCTATATGGAATGAAAACGAGAACTTGGTAATTAAAATATCTAATCTAAAGAAGCTAACACATATTTTGAGTATATTAAACGGCTACTTTGTTCAATATGTCAAGTTTTTAAAAACTCATATCTGAATGATTAAATCTACTTATGGTATCAGCCAATTTAGTTTGTTTTAACTCTATACATGATGAAATTTTCATCATATACTGATCGAGACCGTGTTGGTCAGTTAAATCGGTGCTTCAGTTTATTCAGTTCACATTTAAAACTCACGATGGCTTGAAATTCAAAACAGGATAAGATTCTTCAACCTAAAGTTAACGAGAAACGGAGACGGTTTGTAGGTGTATGTTTTGCCTAACTGGAGGCGACAATATTCGGGCTAAGATAACACTTGTTCAATATTAATATAAAAAAAGACATACTTCATTTTCGAATAACGTAGAAAAGAAAACTAACAAGATCCCCATTTAGTTTAAATGTAAAATATAACTGGTGGCATCTCACAATAATTAGTTACATAGGCTTTGTGACCAAATGTAATTAGTTATAATTGGTCAGATGACATTTTGGTGAAAAAAATCAGCTTTGTCTAACGTCAATTCATTAGCTGAGTACTTTGTTGTTTCTGCTGACTCTGTGTAGACAGTGCTAGACATGGTCACCACAAAAGGATCATTCACATAATCGCTTTGCATTAACTGCAGTTACCTATTTACAAACCTGGAGCGTAGCACAGACAAGTAGTAATACTGAGGGTTAAAGTCCGTAATTGACTCTAAATGTCAATCATTGAAACTGAATGTCTTTAATTCGGTCAAAAAAGTAAGTCAATTCTGAAATGAATAACATTTGAAAGCAACCGAAGCTTGAAAACCTGAGGTTTACTTAGTCTTTGACACGTTTGATTAAAAACACATGTGATCGCAATCCTAAAAGTTCGTATCTAAGATTATTTTGATTCGATATCAACTAAGTAGAGCTTTGAGGTGTCTACGTAAAACATGTAGTCATAAACATTCCAGTTAATTCTCCGCTTTTCACTGTAAAAGCCCAATAAATTTGTATTTCAGTTTCATAATTCGTTTTTCACAAATAATGTGACTTATTTCATTGTAAATGAGAGTCAAAACAAGTAGAACTGATACGTGGTTTGGCAATCAGTATTGATTCATTAATCGACAGAGAATTGATTGTCAAACAGAAATAAATTGAAACGACCTATAATTAACCCGAATACAAAACCATAAAGATATTTATATTCTAAAGACAGTATAAAAGTTGTCAAAAATAGTGACGTACTTGAGCTTTGGCAGCTTCCCACCGACTAAACCCACTCCGAAGTAAAATTACAAAGTCAGCCATTTCATGAGGAACTTCATGAACTAATATGCAGGTAGTCGTTAAAATGCCCAACTGAAATAGTTAAAGTGAAATACTATAAGTTATCTGAAATGATAATATTTACCAAGTGGACATAAACACATGTGGATTGGAATACACTTAATTTACATGTTACAAACTTTTTTTATCATAGTTGTTTGGTTAAAAGATTCTATATTTATGTGTATGTTTTGGTTTCCAATAGTAATACACAGATGAGATAACTAAGAATGCAATATTTGTATCAAACATCATAGAAAAATGGAATAATGAGAGATAAAACTAAGATTGGTAGTGTCGCGTACTGTGTTTTAATGTTTCTGTAGTGAGAAATCAGAATTTTATTACTGATTGTAGTCAGCTGCATTGAAAATGATACACTACTCATATACAAGAACCTTACCATTACTCATTAATCTACTAGTGACGCAATTTATAAAACTTTTGGGAACTAGTAACAATGATCTCCGAAGCTATGGTGGTCAATGTTTTACCTGGATCGATAACCCAAAGATAATTTCTGTATCAATTAAAAACAAACATACTTTTTATAATTTATCTCAGCCGAAATAAAAGACACAAAATAAAGTTATTTTCAAAGAATATTTACAGATGTACATTACTTCTGGATTAAGGAGTTAAAGACAATCTGAGCCTAAATATATCGAAGTAATCATAAATTCACAATATTTTCTCTTTATTCTGACTTTCATTAATAGATTACAAAAGGGTAACTGACTTTTAAGGGTCGACTTACACGAAGGGATACAAGATAACTTCCAGCAATAGCCACACCATGGGTAAAATTATCAATTACATTGGCAGCAAGATTGAGATAACCTTCAACCTGAGAAAGTAATAATGCAAGATTTAGTCACTAAATCAATTAGCTGAGTTAGACTTGAAAAAAAAAGTTCGGTAATAATTCCATTGAACCAAGTGAGTAAGCAAACACTGTAACTCCAATAAGCTTCTCAGACAGATGGTTACTTTATTATTTGTGGAAGACTTTAACTACGGTTAGATAAGAGCAGTAAAATAAGCAGAAACTAGATATAAGAATTCATCTGATTCACAACACAAAGGTGGTACCAGAATATCCGAAAAACTCAAAAGCTATGACATGTGGCAATGACTATTGTTGCTAAGATTATTACTAATAACTCGTGTCTTGTTATATTAAAAACGAATTAATGAGAATCAGTTTCTTAGACACTAAAAACTATAGTTTATTATGTTTTACACAATATTGCTATCTACGATATATTTCAGATATCTTGGAAAAATTAGGGAGAGCAGCTACCTGTGGAACTTCAGAACTCCGAGATTTATCATACAAAAACTGGTTTGAAAAGTTGGAACTGTTTGCTCTATCGTACCGTAGAAAAAGCTTCCATTTTGGTGTATAGAATATTAAGAAGTAGTTTTGAACCTGATGTATGCTCCTATTTTTATACTAGACCAAAACAACCCAAAGGACATAGCATAATAGTACAAAAAGCCAAGAACAAACAAAATATCCATGTTTACACACAGTCATCAACTCTTGGAATTTGCTACGCGAAGACGTGGTATCGGTATCTTCAACTAATTCATTAATGAGTAGACCAGATACTTTCATAACCTTGCTGGAAAATGGTTAACACAAGCTGCAAGACGTCTATTGTCAATAGACAAATCCGAATTTGGTGATAATTGATTAATTTATCTAATGGAAATGCTAAGTTATATAATACGACATTTATTCCGAAATCGCTTGTAACAAACACCAGTAACAAAAACCAATGAGGAAACAAGGAAATACAGTTGTATACATGGTGTGTTTCTCTCTATTTGATTTATGATCGCGCTCAATGAGCTACCATTGTGGACTTCGAAAATCGTAATCACATGACAAAGCAATTATCAGGCTATCCGTGACAGTTACTTATATATTGATGGAGGTTAATCAGTCTAGTAACAATAAAACTGTCCGTTGCAACAAACAATACCTATTAGAAAAGCTTATAGAAGTGTGAAATCTACTTAAAGTTGTAATTGACCAGAGATTAAAGTAACATGTAACGCAGTCGCATGCAAGAGATTGATGTCGAAACTGATCCCAGAAAGATCATGTCTTCGCAGGGAACTGGTGATAAATGCCTCTAATAAGACAATTTAAAAAACAATGAGGACAAAAGTAAGACTAAGTTTAAGTCGGATCAAAAGATAAGACAGTTTAACACTGCTAAATTAAAGTATAATCAAAGACATACCTCTTTTTCAGCAGATTCACGAATACACAACTTCTCGATAATGAAAAACAACAGCAGTCCAGTGATCATCCAAAACCCTGAGATCTGAAACGCGTCGACATCACCTACGAATTATAAACCAACAGTAGTTGGTTTGTATTGTAAGCATAAAACCACATTTACTGTGAACCCAGGATTCCGGCAAGAGGTGAATAAAAACTTCGCCCAGAAGACTGCCAGTAGCATAACTAAGCCATCTATTGAGAGAAATGATGTCTAGTTTAGGACGAAATGAAAATATTAAACAGATACCTTTCTTGGAACAAATGCTATCTAACGGGAGAAATAGAAGCGGAACGACACCACTCAGTCCAACAATAAATGATGACAAAATGCACAAAATCCCTCTCCCAAAGCACAGAGAGCCAAGAGATAAGAGGATTTCTAGCATTGTCTTAATTTAGAGCGAAAACAACGTCACATTCGAAGATGCGACTAGCTGGGAGAGTACCGCATCTTGGTTAACTAAAACAAGCTTATAAAACATAACCATTCAGTGTTAAGGAATAAGGATCATGATAAAGTAGCATTGAAGTGCTTTTCTTTTATCTTCACAGAACTGCCTTTCGAATTTGCGTGGAAATCCGAACCTAATCTTAAGAATATCCGTTCTTCTCCAAATGTTCTCATTGAAACTAAAGGTTGGTTGGTTTTATCTTCGAGAATGTAAGAGGTGGTACTAAGTTCGTATAAATTTCTGACTTTTTTTCAATGGCTATTTGCGTTACCTTAACTGATTGCTGAAAAGAATAGTTTCAGAGGTGCTCAACATCTCACTTTATAATATTGACGGACCGGACTACCAGCAGATCAGTTAGTTGAGATGTGAAGGATAAAAATGAGAAAATTCTATTGCTGACACGCAGAAGAATTTAGAACTAATTAAATAAATATATAATTTAGTTTATTAATTTGTAGTGAATATTGTGAGAGGACTGAAGTGTAATCAAGGGAGAGCAAACAGAGATAATGGGCGAGATAGATTTAGTAAGTGATCTGAAGAGATGACAATGGTAACAACTAACAGGTCCCAAGATATGCATCATGAACAGCTCGTCCAAGAGGGAGATGACAATCCGTACGTGAGTATGTGATTATCAAGTCTCTTCTTAAAGCTGTCCACTGAGGGGGCTGTGGTCACCTCGGCTGGGAGGGCATTCCAAGTTGCAACGACTCGCAATGAGAAAAAGTGTGCACGAATCTGAGTATTCGCTCTTTGATGTACAATCTTTCTAGGATTTCCTCGAGGGGAGTGGTGGTAAAGCATCCATAAGATGCTCACGTTGGGGTTTTTGGCGTGCTCAATATGTTGTACGCCATAATCAGATCACCTCTGATTCTCCTTTAACTCAGTGGGGATAACCTCAAGTGTAGGAGTCTATCATCGCAAGTTTTATTTTTCAACTTTATCACCCATTTGGTTGCTCGTCTCTGCACTCGATCCGAGAGATTTACGTCTCTTTTAAGCAGAGGGGTTGCGAGCACGTTGTGAACCTTAAAAGTGTGGGCATGCTTATGTCTTAAATAGCGTCAACAATTGTCTTCGCATAAAGTGAAGAGTCGCATTTGATTTGGCTGCGTCCCCTACGTAGTTCGGACTCGTGTGGAGTCTTTCTGTGGTTATTAAACCGAGATCGCGCTCTGAGGAAACATTAGGGAGCGGACTTGTATTGAGGGTGTAGACCGTTTGCGTCGTGTGAGGCAGAATATACATAATGTGGCACTTCGGTTGGTTGAGTTTTAAACAGTTTTTCACTGCTCATTCCTCAGTGGATGTAATGTCCTTTTGAAGCCCAGCCGAATCCTCTTCGCTTCCAATGGACCTCCGGATCTTCGCATCGTCTGCGTAGATCAATGCCGGTGAGCTAACTGAGCCTAGCAGGTCGTAAATAAATATCAGTAAGAGAATTGGGCCAAAGATGGTCCCCTGTGAAACTCTCAATGTTGAGACTTGCAAACGCGTGTGCACTCTATATACCTTGGTACAAAACGTTTTATTCTCAAGGTAGTTTCTGAGCCAAGATACGTTTGGGTCAGTGAAGCCCATTTCTGGAACCTTCGTGATTAGGCATGCGTGTGGTACTGTGTCTAATTCTGCTTCACAGTCTAGAAATATTATGTGCACCAGTACTTTCGTTCCAAGCAGGAAGTTCAACTGTCCCATTCTTTGATAAGATTGGATGTGCACGATCTGCTTTTCCAAAACCCGTGTTGTGCTTACCAAGCATTCCCGTATCTGCTCGTTTAGCAGCCCTTCCGTTACCTTTGATAGTTTTGGTTGTAATGCAACTGGTCTGCATCAGGCTAGGTCCTTCTTACCTCCCTCTTCGAAGGTTGAACAGAGAGTTGACACAGCCCACATTCCTAGGTTCTTTGGCCATGAACCTAAACAGATGCTTAGGGTTTGCCTGTATTTGGACAGCTAGCTTAATCTGCATACATGCTCAGTAAGCCCAGAGCTTCTAATGACTGTCGTCTTCTGATAAGTCGTCTTTCGAACCAACCTATGGAGGTTTTACCCTGATTCATGAGATGTAAAGATGGGGTGTTGAAATCTCCAGAGTATCTGCCATGGCAGTTGCTGTCAGTTTGTTTTTCTGGGCCTTAGTACCGGAGAGACGTCGATAAATCACTCCAATCAAGTATTTCGTGCCATTTGTATGGAAACAACACCAACATGATTCTGTCACCTCGGTTAGTTGAGTGTCGTATAGCCACTCCGCCTCCTGTTTGGTGTACCCTATCGATTCGGAAGAACGTCATTCCTGACAAGCTCACTTCTTCGTCTGCGATGTCAGGGGATAGCCATGTTTCAGTTAGGATTATGACTTTTAGATCCATCTCAGAGCACGTATTTCTGATTACTAACAGCTTAGCCCTTAGTCCTCTTACGTTGCTATAGAGGCACTTGGTGGTTTGTCTCAGCATATGGTGCACTTCTGCAGCAATAGCCTTTGTCGGATTTTCAAACAAGTTGTTCAGACCGAGTTGGCCAGTTCTGTGGGGACTGGCCTCTGCAGGTTTTTTTGCCTGTGCAGTGAGTTCAATCGTGTCTTGAGCCAGGGGTTGTTGACCGAGACCTGTTACGGGAGAAACGAAGACATTTTGCTGATCAAAACCTTCATGTATAAATATCATTAATTTCACTGTTTTTGGGTACATTTGTTTTACTTAACTTGTGAACTTGTTTGAATTATTATTTGCGGACATTTTGGACTCCCGTTTCTCTTTGTTGTTCGTTGCAGTTTTTTGCTCGAAGAGCTAATAAATTAGAAGAACGACATTGGTCGTCTATTTGTAATACAGTATTTTGGTGGAATTTGTGATTTGGAATAAACTTTGGTATCTACTTTGGAGTTTCGTTCTTGGTTTAGAAATTTGGGACCGTGAATTACAAATAGTCGACAACCGTGCTTCGTAAGATCAACGAGCAAAAAACTGGACGTAACAGGCCTCCCTGCTATTGTCTCACAGATCTAGCTCGCGAAGAAGATAATGGATATTGGAAGGTCGCTGCCTAACGTAGTTAACCACTCTTTCATCATCTCAAATTTACGCTTCACGTCTGTCATTACAGAAACATATCGTACAATATCACATACTGCCTTATTTACTGTTTCCTCGGCTTCATTCTATTTGAATCAAATCTTGTCGAAAAAATCGATAACGTACTAGGGAATGCTAATCTGTCGCTAAACTGTACATGCGTTTTTATCACTGGTTTTTTAGGTGCGAATGGAACTTGCCCGATTTTCAGACAACTCATAATTAATTAACTCTTCAATGATAGTCGTACAGCGGGTCTTAAAAAATGTTATAGCATTTGAGCTAGAAGTGCAGAGACAAAATTCCAAATGGAGTGTCTCTGGAATACTGGAAGACTCTAGAATTATATCTGTAATTTACGTACCTGTCTGATCACTGTAAACAGAAGTCGTTGTTTAAAAATATTGTCCCTGGCAAAGTTTATGATTTCCATGCAGTGAAAGCCTGGGGCTTTTTAATACTAAGGCAAAGTATTCGGCCTCAAACAATCCTTGCTCAATAGAAACCAAAAAAGTGACTTATTGACGGACACTCACCAAATAGATTTTGACTTTGAAATAATGTAGGTCAACAGGAACACACCATTTTATGGTGCCTTGCAAACCGATGTGTGGTAGCCAGGAGAATATAAGGACGGTCATCGACCGTGAACAGGCAGAAACAGCTAATCAACTATTAAAAATGTAGTTTCATTCTTCCTTATTGATCTTTACTACAGAGATACTGAATATCTCTGCCTATAAATGTGCGGAATAAAATTTTGTCTATTGCTTGCTCCAGTTCTTTATTTTGGTCGTGAATCGTGTTTCAGCATTATCGTAATCCAGTCTTTGTCTGCTGTGCCTTTGAATTATGCGATTCAGTGGTAGCATGAATACGGTCATGATGTAGTTGCAGCGTTTAGTACAGTATTAAAATTAATGAAGATGGTAGTTCAGCAGAATCTTCTGAGTAATACTAACCGTCTAATCGAACTATTACTGGAAAATAAGATTCGTATATTTATCCTATTTAATTTTTCCCTACTCCTTGATTAAACCACGCAGTGTTGAATCGTTGTCTTGATCAGTCATATCCATTTTAAATAAATAGGTCTTAACAGGGATCTTTTATCGGCCGAAAGTAAGTTAAGTCACTGATTTTGAAATCTCGTCAACTTTACTTAAAGAATCACATACGGAAGAAGGAGCAAATTTTTAAGTTACCTTTTCTATTAGCTGCAAATGAATATCAGTAAGAAGTTTGTGTTGTTGTGCGAAAATCCTTCAGATCACCAACAGGACTTGATATTTTTCTGGTCAGTTAATTTTCACTTATTTTTCTGATTGTTTTATCATTAACTGATGGCCAATATCACATGACACATACAACACATTCATCAGAATTGCGCCTGTGCATCATAAAACTCGAGTCAGCTGTAATTCATTTTAGGTCTGCAACACGATGTCTTCCCTATTTATAACCTCCCTGTAGCTTAGTCCAGAGGTCCACTGCCAGCCTCCATAAAATTCGTTATATTTAAAAGAGAATTAGTTTACGTACAAAACATACCCGGTCACATCATACCGTCGAGTAAGAAAAAATACATTTATATATGAGCGAGTCAGACGTGGTGAATGGCAAATTGGAAGAAGATTAGAATTAGTGAATTATAAAAATTTAACTAACGGATTAAAAAAGAACTTATGACAAAGGAATATGTGTTATAAAAATTACATTATAAGATATAAAGATAATGATAATAACTCCTAAACTGGTCATAAGTTACCATTTCTTTAATCTTCCATCAACTATTAGCACAAATGGATTAACAGTGGAATTCCATATTGCCCAGTGTATGAAAAGGGGAGCATGTAGAGTGGCGCGAATGTTGGAATAGAGAAGAGATGAAAAAAGGAGGTGAAACGACAGTTGAGCAAGCTCATAGAGTGCACTTATATTTCGTAAGGAAAGCAACAAACAACAACCAATAACCACACAAGCCTTCGGTCAAGAGAAACTGCAAACCCAAACTATATGTTGCACGTGAGAATTGAAAGGTTGAATAATGCATTGTGTTATGG